AAACCTCAAAGAAAAATAAAAAGATTCCTAATATTCAATTGATGCCTGCATGATTCTAATATGTAAAACATCAGGTGTAATACAAACCAAATGTGAAACTTCAGAGTTTACCTCATCAAGAATCATATAGTCCCATATGTAACTATCCTCGCTTTCATCATCGATAAAGTAATGGTCCCCTCGTAAGGATTTTGAGTTGTTCCGCACAATATCATATGTTGTCAGGAGAATTCCTTTGTCCTGAAATGAGAAGATGAATCCAGGCAAAAATAAAATGTTAAATTTTGCCATGATAATCAACAATAACGGGAAACCCCGCCAAAAATTGCATTAAGATTTCTCTCGAAAAACAAGGTTATGGTAGATGCATATAATAGATTGAAGAGAAGTAGATAAAAATTCAAACTTCCAAGAAACCAAACAAATCAGTTCAGCCCTAAAACTGGACAGAACTCATGTCTGAATTAGTCAGCACCATATTTCAACTTAAACTTCAGCAGAATTTAACTTGCTTCAAGTCCACAAGTCAGATTAAAATATAAAACATAGTTATGTTCTTTCCTGTTATTTGGCTGCAGGTATCAAATATTAACTGTCTGGATGTTACGAGTTACACTTGGAAGTACAAAAAATATAAACAATGAGAGCACATGTATAACCTGAAGTATATATTGCAGCTCATAGTCCCGAGCTTTTAAAGATGTCCCAAAATATCTACATGTAAGTGCAAAAGCTGATTAGTATTCATTAATAGACCTCTTTTCTTCAATGGTAAAAGAGAAACATTTGAACTTTCAAAAGACTTGAGTCAAACAGCCTCACTCTCTAGTCTTCGCAGAAAGCCCCACAACAGACAGTTCTTTAATCCAATGGGAGAGCAGTGTTTTAGGGGCCACAACCAATGCCCTCTTAATCAATTTGGAATGGAAGAGACCTGCTAGAAAGCTGCAAATCTGCAGAACAAAACAAATAAAAGTTAATCCATATAGCAGTGGAGTATTAACATTGTAACTATCTTCATAAATTATTGCACACACCTCCTTACCTGCATCGTTTTCCCCAAGCCCATGTCATCTCCTAAGATTCCACCCTTGCCCTGACAATGCAAAGACCAGAGCCATCTTAAACCTTCACGCTGATGAGGATACAGCATTTTTGCAATTGTACCGGATAATTTGTATGTAGATTTTGGTCCAGGCAATGTAATGCAACTATCATCCTCTGAATCTGCTTGATTGTCCAACACATCATTCACACTAGATTCATCAGATAATAAATTGTACTTAGTAATGGCATCAGGTCTCCCAACTTTCTTGACCACCTTTTTGCCGGTCAAAACCTCACAGTCATCTTCCTTGTCCTCTGATTCATCTCGAAGACTAAGCAAAGAAGACCGTCCTACAGACCTCAATTTCTCATGGAACCTTGTGGGTTCTTTTTTCTTCACTTTTAGAGCAACTTTATTAGTTTTCTCCACCCTAGTGGCATAGTCATCACGGTCAGACACAATCTGCACATCGCCTTCCTCTTCTACAACATTGGACGCAAAAGATTTTCCCACGGGGACTAACTTTTCATCCACCCTTCCATATTCGTTCTTCTTTGGCCCTTTACAAGTGTCATTGCCCTTACTGTCAACCTCGTCAGCAAATGACCCGCTCAGCAAATGACCATCTTCATACGCATCCACAAAATTCTTATTCACATTCGATGAGGAATCAGATGGGCCAGCAGATGAAGAAAACGAAGACTCAGCACTCGCATAATCAACCACATCAACTTTCTTAACCACGTTACCATTTTCAGGCATTCTCCTTTTCTCAATCGACAAAAGATCAAGCCTTGAGGTCAAGTCATTAAGAATATCTTTTATCTCATTAATCCCCCTATTATTGTCACAATCACCAACATTTTTGGACGGTATGGGCGAATCAAAATCAGCAATATCATCAAAACTAGAATCAGTTTTCACTTCTTCTCTACTCTCACTATCCCCATTGTCTCCAAAAGAGACTTTGCAAAGTCTCCGTCTTCCTTCGATCTTAACCTTCGTAGGCTTCTCCTCTTCTGGAAAAAAAATCAATTTCCCCACATCATAAACCAAAACTTTTTTTAGGGTTTTGCTAATCAACTAAAAATAAGATAATTAGGGCAATCAAGATAGGAATTTAGGGATATTACCAGGAGAAGAATCAAAATCAGTGATTCCACCGAAATTAGGGATGTTATCCTCCTCTGCTTCAGCTTTGCGAAAACGACGTCGTCCTTCGAGCTTCACATTGAATACACTCTCTTCTTCCCCGTCCTCCACTGTACACCAAACAAATCAATTCAAGATTTCAAAACCCGATAAATCAAAAAAAATTAAATTAAAACAAAAAAGAGGTGAAGAGAGAGACCTGAGGGTGTGGCTGACTGTCGTTGTTTGGGAGGAGCGGAGAGGTCTTGAAGGAGGCGGTGGTTCAGACTAACTGGTTTTTTGTTGGTGCTTTTGGAAAGATCCGCCATTTTTAGTTTAGAGAGAGAGAGGAGCGGAAGTGGAAAAGGGAGAAAAAGGAGGGTGTTTTTATAGAAGTGGAAGGCGGAGAACTTTGTCTGTATAAAGGAAGGAAGGAAAGAAGGAAGAGAGAAAGAAAAGAATCCGTTGGGTTTAAAATAAATTTAATTAAATTTGAATTGGTTTTCCCGCTTAGGTTGGGATTTTTTAAGATTTAATTTTATTGCTTCCGAGGGCTTTGGAAAACAAAACACTTCCGGCCTGTTTTGTATTTTAAAAAAAATTAAAATTTCTTATTTCTTATTTATTTTAAATTAATATAATTTTAATAATTTTATTTTATGTAATAATATCAAATGTAATTTTTTTAAAAAAAAAATTAATATATATTTTAGCGTGAAAAATTATTTAAAAAGTAACCACAATTATACTATTAAATACGTTTCCATAAAAAACATGAAATCGATTATTTTTAATTTATGATATACTAATTTAATTGTGATATATTTTTGCTTGATATTCAAATGTATTATTATTTTTAAATTAATTTATACTTTGATGGAGATTAGATTTTATTTTTAAGTTATTTTAGAAAAATGAGATTTTATATCATTTAAAACTAAGTTTTGTTTTGAATAATTTTAAGAATCCAATTTATTGGTATTAGTTAAAAGATTTAAATTCAAAAAATAAAAGAAGAAGACCAATTTCCTTAACCATCTAAGATAAAGAGAATTTGACATTTTATGTTATAAAAATATTGGACAAAAGATCCAATCATAAAAATAAATCATCCAATGAATGAAAAGAAAAAAGAAAAACTTTGAAAAATAAATAAAAAAATGTTTTTTTATAAATAATTGGACAATAAAAATAGTTCGTTTTATCTTACAATACCACAGGGTACATAAGACAATTTGTCTTTTCTAAATGGTAACATTATATAGTATTGTCATTAGAAAAAACATAAAATTGATGCCTTTTGAATAACATTTTAATGTTTTTATTATTATTTTTAGATGATTAGATGTTTTTTCTTACATGAAAAGCCAAGTCCCGGATAAAAAAAACGAAGAAATTTGCATCGACCAGAGCATTTACATCCAAGGATGATGTTGTTTCATTAGCAGGGAAGTATTCTGACCCTCACTTGCACTTCAAGTCTGTATGCTTAGATGCACGTTAAATGTTGGGTTTGCTTTGACTCTTTAGTGTTGGAATCGAGGTATTCCACGGCTAGAGCTGTGGAGATGGTTAATCACGGAGGCTGAATTTTATTTTTTTTTCATATATTTTTAGATTGTTTTGATATATTAATTTTAAAAATTATTTAAAAAATATTATTTTAAGCCGCAACAGTTATTATAATTCCGAATACACTTGAAATGTATTAAAATAATTTTTTTATTTTAAAAAAAATTATTTTTAAAATTAATACATCAAAACAATTTAAAAATATAAAAACATTAATAATTTCTTTTAAAAATTTTAAAAAATATAGTTTCAATCACATTTTCAAACAAACTAGTAATCCTGAAGCTATTGTTGATATAAATAAAAAGATTATCGTAGAGTTATGAAAAAACTTGAGCTCCATAAAAAAAAATATAGCGAAAAGATATATGTTTTCTGAATTGAGGGTTAATTTATATTAATGTTTAATTTGAATTAACACAAACTTACAATGTTGTTATGATGTTATTATAATAAAAGAAAAGATCATGTTTTTTTACTTCAATAATCCAGGCTAAGCTCTAAATTAACAAGTTATTGGATTTGACCTGCATGTTTATAGTTTAAGTTTTATATATTAAAATACTATTTTAATTTAATAGTTTGTGAGATTCTAATATATAATTTATATTATGTTTTAATATATATTTTCAAAGAATTTTTTTTTAAATTTAAAATCTATATATATTTATATTATTTTATATTTAATTTTTATAAAATAAATAAAAATAATAAGATTTGATTTTTATACCAAGGAAATCATGATCATCAATGATAGGGTTAGGGATGCGGTTGTTCATATTCTGCTATCTATTGATTATACGCCTTGAAACGGACTCTATTCTTTAATTATCAGCCTATCTTGAGTTTGGATCCTGCCCTATGACCTCCTAGGAAACCAAAAACATAATAAAATTATATAATCTCAAATCAGATCTTTTGAAGGCATAATTGAAGAGGAAGAAAATGAAAGAAGTTAGACACAATGCACGTCTACGAAATCGTACGGATTTCTAGAACTAATCATCAGACAGGGAAGAGTGTTCAACAGCTTGACAAGACATGCAAGAAGTTCTAGCTTCAAATGACAGATATTGAACATGGGATTGTTTTGGTCTGATGGCCATTTACTTGTGTCTTAAGCTGTTATTACTGGACGCGAAACAAGGACAAATTGTATTAATTGGAAATTGTATTAACTTAATTATTCTGCTATCTATTGATTATACGCCTTGAAACGGACTCTATTCTTTAATCAGTGGATGAAAAAGAAAATGCCCTAGCAATTAATCCGGGAAGAAGCAGCAAAACTCTTGAAACAATCTCAAGATAATTATAATGAAAGATGGATGAGTGAATTGCCTATATTTCATCCATGATCAAGAGAGAGACTGAATTGAGAAGGTTTCATCAATATCCCATGCCAAAGATAAGATCAATCCACCTGAGCTCAATGAATTGATCAAGATGCCATGGATGAGGTCAATGGCAATTCACTCTCATGTGATCTAAAAGACATGTTGTTGATTGAATTGCTTGAGGATAAATTCCTCTTAATTGCAGCATTTCCATTGCCACCACTATCATTTTGCTCTACCGTTATCGTGGGCCCTTCAAACTCATCCCGCGTTCCATCTCCCTGAGTTTCGATGTTACCAGACTGGTCATTAGTTGCTGCATTTCCTGTCGTATTAAAAACATTTGCACGAGCACGACCACCTCCTCCACCACCGCCACCAGAACCAATAGCAACCCGAAATCCAAAGAATCGCGAAAGAAACCGATAGATGCATGTAAGTAACCAAAAAAGCCAAGGCAGGCAAACCAGGGCTATACCGGCAACAGGAAGCCAAGCCCTAGATGGGTCTGAAGGGAGGACAAGATACATAAGCAATAAGCTGCCTCCAGCAGCTACAGTAATAAACATGAAGAAAGAGATGAACCATATCAATAAGCGCCCAGAAGTGGGGTCTTCTACAGGCATTTGTGTGTTGAAACTTGACGGACAGGAAGATCAAATGATTAGTATTTCCTCTCTATCCTCGTCCATTTTTGTTCATTGGGATGTTGGTGTATGCGTGATCAACGAGAGAATTTGGTTTTGATTTTGCAGGGATAAGGAAGAATTCATGATAGATGATGATGAAGAAGAACACTGATGTTTCTTCTTGTTAATTGCACGCATAACGAGGATGTTTCGTCTGATTTTTCACAGGGTGGACATATTCAAAATTGACACCAAAGACAGGGAAACGAGAGAGTGAAAATCGGGTAGGACTTCTTGTTACATGAGAGCACGCTTGTGAATTCCCAAAATTTGTGCTACTTACAAGATGAAATGGCTCGTTAATTTTTTTACATGGTAGCATTTCTATTTTTAGCCATCTTTTCTTTTCTTTTCTTTCTTTCTTTCTTTTTTTTTTAGTCTTTTTTGAGGTGACAGGAACACACCTTGTACTCAAGATCTCCTTCCCTTTTGCCTGCTCCATAAATGAAGCATGATCGACAACGATTGGAGGCAATCCAAATTTCCATTCTCAACCATCATGTTCACCTAACACCGCCAACAATATGCTCCATCACCTCATATTATTCCCAGCATTCCCTCTCACCTGCACAATAACTTCAGCTAACATGTCTATCCCATTGCCCCGACATTTGGTATGAAATTTTTGCAAAATTTATTTGTTTGTAAATCATTTTCCAAGTAACAAGACAATCCCAGACTCCCAAGTCCGACTTGAACCAAACAGAGATAGCACTCTGGGTTTCACTTCTCCATCAACCTTTCGATACATCACCTGCGCATTAATGCGACTCAAAAACATACCTTGGAGAACGTTAGGGCTTCTTTTTGTCATGCGATTTTTTGTTTCATTTGTATTAGCATCTTTTCACCTCTATTTCTTGCAGTTCAGGGCATAACTGAATAGTTGTGATTCACATGGTCCACTTTTCAAATATGCTGCCAGCAGACTGTTAAGCGGGACTATGTAATCTACTCAGACGGTTACCTTACCTCCACTCGTCCCTGTCAATGGTTCAATGTCCAAATTCATATGAAAAAGGGTTCATGAGAGTGAGAGCTCCCAATTCAGAGGAACCTCCATGAAGAAAATAAAGAAATAAATAGAGACTAATTACATGGGGTATGATTTATTTGTAACAAAACAAATCTAGCCTGCTAAGATGACAACACTGTGAATAAGGAAAACTTCTATGATGAATATTCTGTTAGAAAGTTATTTCCACGCCCAGCTTATGAGAGGAACTCATAAAAGTGAACTTCGGTACAAGAATCCACTCTGTAATAGCCAATGGAAGCAGGACAACTGTCACTGGATTTTGACAACATCAGCGAAGGGGAGAAGCGATTAATCACAGGTCCTGCCACCAGACAACTTCATCAAAATTGCCACTGCATCATTCTGAAGGCCTCCATTAAGAATAAGACCCGGTCTTTAGCCAACAGTTATTGAACTACTATAAAAAAATGGCAGTGTTATATATGGCATAACTGACTGGCATAGAATATAAGCACTGAACCACTGATTAATCAGAAACACATCACAAGGTTATTGTTTTTGTTGAAGGGACACTGGACTCGTGATTGGTTTCTGTCATGACAGAAGTCAGCATCTTGTGTCTCCTCTGCTCAAACACATCACAAGGTTATTGTTTTTGGTGAAGGGGCACTGGACTCACGATCGGTTTCTGTCATGACAGAAGTCAGCATCTCATGTCTTCTCTGTGCCTGAGCTTTCCTTTGGCTGGTTTCAATGATGATGAGAAGAGCTGTAATGTCAGCAGGGCTCACCCCACCCACTCTACTTGCTTGACCAATGGTTTGTGGCCTGACCTGAAAATTACATTTGACCAGAACCATATTTTTAAAGAATTTCAAAAAAAAAAAAAAATTATGTCTAGCAGTGGGAATATATAGGACAATTTCAAACAAGAGCGTCATCTCAATTCTCACTCTCATAGGAACAACCAAAAGGATATCATTGTAACTTGTTATTATTCACAAACACTTAAATTTGCACTTGGCATTGAAATGGCAAAGTGTACGGAATACCAAATGCACAGGAAGAAGTTATCAGGAAAATAGAAAATAGCTCCCTCACACCATAACTTGTATCAGACAAGAACATCAAAATAAGGAAGTAGTTTTAATCCACCAAGCTATAGGAGTTTGAGTGAATACAGAAAATTCTGTCAGAAATCCACAGACATTATTTATGCTACAAACCTTGGAGAGTTTCTCGCGAGCTTCAAGAGACAAAGTTATCATTGCATGGTAATCCAAATCCTCAGGAAGTGGTCTATTTTGTTGACGGGCCATCTACAAGTAGAATAAGCACTTGATTTATATGACAAGATATAAGAAACATGCGAAGATGAAGTAATTAGCACACACCAAATGTATATACACGTGCTAAATAATTTAACAGTGAGAAAAAAAATTTATTCCCTCATTAATCCTACAAGAGAACAGTGATTGCTTACCTGTTGGAGTTGAATTTGCTGGCGCATAATGAAGCCCTCATACTTGACATCAATCTCTACACCCTCTTTCTCCGCTCTGGATAATTGTTCATTCCCAAAACCATGCTTATCAAAAACTTCATATTGCACATGTGGTTTCTTTAGAAGACTCTCCAGTGTTGAAGAGTCCCTCACGGGCTGTCTGGACACACGGGTAATGTCTACAGCCAAATCTCCTCCTGAAAGTAATATTGGAAACAGATGTTAACTTGGATCCTCATACAACCCTGTGTTTCCTCTCTCTGTTTTGGATTAGTTTTGGATACCCAAATTAGAACAGGAGAACAGCAGTGATCCCAAAATCCCCATGGTGTAGATTCTTGTCCACCGTTAAAGATTGATTTCGAGCAATAATATTGCAATCTAGTCGATGAATAATTATTCAATATTGGCACAAAAATGCATTTGGCCAGAAACAAATAAAGGTCATGTATCTTGCTCCCATTTCTCCATAGTGGTTGCTTCTCTGTCTCCATCTACCACCCACTCTTTTATCCGAGAGAGCATTTTCAAGGTTAATATCAATTAACAGGACATTTAGGAAATTCTTGAACATGTATGATTTATATCTCTATTTCACAATTAAAATATTTGTCTACTTCCAGCTTTGTTGGAATGAAAGAATACAAACCTGAAATCCTGACTGTTTTCAACCTCTTTTTCTCTTCCAAGATTCGAGTTTGCTTATCCTGGTATAATTTCCACCGTCTATCATCTATCAACCCAATTTCACGCCCCAAAGGTGTTAGACGACTATCAGCATTATCAGATCGAAGAAGCAATCGGTGTTCTGAACGGCTAAGAGGAGGGAGAAAAATCAATACAGTATTTTTGGTATAACAAAAGGACAACAATGCATATTTGAAATTAATTTGCAGTTCATAGATAGAAGACCATATTTACAAATTAAACAGTCAGGACCATCACTTTTATTTCATTGATTACATAGAAAAACAACTATATCTTGAACGTTAAGCATGGGTACAGGAAGTAGGCTTTTGGAAGGAGATAGCCTGGTGTCAAATAGTACTAAAACCATCTCTACTTTTCATCTTTGTGCACAAGACAACATGATCTGATAATTACACCATGGATGAGAAATACTTACCAAATTAGCTTTTCAGAGACATAAGCATTTCATATCATAGTATACTACCAAAGATAAGCGTCAAGCAACATTAAAGGAATGATTCTATGAAATTGAATAATTACTCTCCAGAGGCAATCTACCTTGTCAACATTCGGTAAGGCTCTCGAAGGTCCTTAGTGACCAGATCATCAATCAACGTCCCTATGTAACTGCTTTCCCTCTCGAGAACAATGAGGGGCTTACCATCTGAATGTCTTGCAGCATTAATACCAGAAATAATTCCCTACATAAAGCAAAAGGAAAAAAAAAATCAAAACCCTCATATAATTATTCACCCAAGGACAAAAAACAATGTTGCATTTTATGCTAGGAACAATAAAAAATATATTACCAACAAGTGACAAGAAATAAATAACATCAGCAATACACAGACAGAAGCTGATTTTATTGATAGATGATAACCTGTGCTGCAGCCTCTTCATACCCTGTTGTCCCATTAATCTGACCAGAGAAGAAAAGACCATCAATTTTCTTCGTCATTAGAGACCTAGAGCATTGATATGCAGGCAGGAAATCATACTCCACAGCATATGCAGGCCTCAGCATTGAACAGTTTTCAAGTCCAGGCAAAGTTCTCAAGAGTGGTAACTGCAGTCTTTCTGGTAAACCAGTTGAGAACCCCTGTAAGCAAGTAAATAGTTAATTGATGTCAAAATGGTAAAATAAGTATCGTTATGAGTGAAATGCAAAACAATACCATGTGGATTTGGCCACATGAACTCCAGTGATAAATTTTTATTTGTTTTGCACAAGGATCAATGTAGTTTACTCTGTTTGCGGGAGCCTTAGTTTCCATAATTTGGTAATAAGGTGGCAAACTGAACTAGATGTTTAACATTTATAAAATCTTGTGACTTAAGTAATGGTGTTAAGGCCCTTATAATAGAGTACACCAAATTATACTATGGTGCAAGATAACAAAACTTCATCAGTTGAAACCACAAGGGAAATTTTTGCATCTTCCCCTGAAAATTGCATTTTCAGGATGATGTTAATCCAGAAGCTTGGCAGGTCACAAAATGACACTAGAGAATGCAGACACAATTTTCAATTACTTGATTGCAAATCGTGTCCAAATGTTAAATCCTTCTCAATCACAAAGAAAAAACTGTTCATCAATGTAATAGTGCAGAAGAACAGAGTTGATAGGTACAGACCTGCACGTACAGCTCAGGCACACTTCTACCCTCAGGTTCAAGAAAAATCTGATGGGACCCTTTATCTTGAAATCTTACAATCTGGGGGAAAGATAATAGCAATGCATATTGCATTAGGAACTTAAATCAAATTCGCAGATGCTTAAACTATACTCCAAAATGAAGTAAAGTAAAAAAAAATTACTTTCCAAAACCAATCCCCTTACCAACAAACCATCTTAAATAATATTAAAATAATCTATCAGAACAGAGAAAAAGTTTAGCTGCAATTATTAAAACCTCAAAGAAGGAAATGTGTTCATGTACTCACCTGCACTAACTTAATGTAAGAAGGCATGTCATTTTAAATTGGGGGGGGGGGGTCATATACACAAAACTGTTGACAATGAATTGGTGCCACTCATTGTCTACAGGATCTTCCCCCTTTTCCACACCGCGGTGGATGGGGGACACACCTAGGAATGAGAATATGCTGGGCATTTAAGATTATTTAAAATGACAAGAGGACAGGAAATTATTTATCTTGATTTATTTTATACAATTAGGACAGTCGTTGGTGTCCAGAAACTGTACAGATTTTAAAATCCAGCTCCTGTGAGTTCTGAACAATATATGCACACATCTTAAGAGCTAAGATAGGGACAACCCCTTCTCCTTTTCTATAGAAAAAGAATGGCACATAGAGCAACCGTATATAAGGATACATTAGCTGCAGATGTATACCTTATCTTCAATGGAAGGACAGTATCGAGGACCCTTTGCTTCAACCCACCCTCCATAAGTGGGAGTTTCATGCAAGTTCTCCTTAATAAGCTGATGGGTAATTTTTGTTGTGCGTGTTAGGTAGCAACACATTTGTTCCCTTTCAATTTGTACATCTGGATCAAAACTAAACCAATGTACCTGTCAATCATTAACGTACAATCAGAACATGATTTTAAACACTTGATAACAAGGTTTTGATTTTAATCATAGTAGGCATAATATCATCATTTTCCAAACAAGGTTTTGATTCCACAGGGCCCATTATATTTAGATAAAAGTTTTGTTTCAGGTAGAGGAAGTCTGTGTCGAGGGAGACATGAACCCTAT